AACCCCAAAGTGGCTTTCGTCTCCGCCTTGGCCTGCCCCCCGCGGCTTCAATTTCCCTAACATTTTTCTCTACCCGGTATGTTTCCCCAAACTTTCCTCCAACGATATTCCTCCCTCATTTCTCCTGGCCTCTCCCCACAGTCCGCGTCCGAGTCTGTTTGTTCTAGCTTTCACTTTCGCTTTCGACCTTAGAGATTTCTCCCAGCTTCCCCCCGTAGTCCGTATCCAAGTCTATGCCTAGGCTTTCAATAGCTTCTTCCGGCACCCTTTTTCGTCCGGCTTTTCCCTAGGCTGTTTGCTAGTCTCTCTCTCCGGTATTCTCCCAATTCTTCCCGTTTCTTCCCATTTCTTCCCTCCTAGGTTTCATATCCGTCCTAAGTTTCCTATCCGAGCTAGGTTTCCTATCCGAGTCACGGCACCATTATGTCGCTCCCCCTCTTCATGGAGGAACGACACTAAACCCTGCCTAGGCTTCATATCCGAGTCACGGCACCATTATGTCGCTCCCCCTCTTCGTGGAGGAACGACACAGGACCCTGCGCTGTTCTTTCGTCTGCTCGGCCCTCCCCGGGTTTGCTGCTGGTTCTTCCCGGGTTGGCTACTATCCCTTCCACCTCCGTGGAAGGGCAGTTCCCCCTGGCCGCATTCCCCACTTCCGCAGGGGAGCGGCACACCGCCGGCCGGCTCTCTGGGGGCTGCACGGGTTCCCTTAGATGTTCCCCATAGATGTTCCTGGTGCATGCCGTTTCTCTCCTCCTTTATAGTCCTTCTCTGCCAATCCCAACTCGGCTGCCCACACGCCGAGTACGCTGCTCTCCAATCAGGAGCAAGTCCTACAGTTAATTGGTTGAACTGGAGGCAGCTGTGCGGAAGCTGTTTACTTCTCTCCCAGCGCCATATTGTGGGAGAGCAGATGCATAGAATAAGTCCTAATTCCAGCAACTTAGTCTAGTCCGGATTGCTCCCCACAAGACACTCTGGCAAAAAGATCTCTGTGAGTGAGATCCCAGTGGAAAGAACAGGTCTTCAAAGAGGGAGGTGCCTTTCTCTGAAGGGAGGAGAGAACCTCCACTTTGACTATGACCGTGTCTAAACAAGATAAGAGTCGGAGAACTCAAGGGGCTTCCATAGCCTTGGAAACTCATAACTGGTGCATAGGGAGATTACTGATGCCATAAACAGGAGTGTCAATTGGTAAAGTCAACAACAGGAGTCACTGTGCACTTACTCCTCATGTAGGATCTCTGTCCTTAACGTGCTGTACACTGAGGCTTAATGCTATAACGAGTACTCAAACAGTATATTTCACTTTGTGTTTCTATGGGGGTGCAAACGACTGAAATCTTTACTTAATGTACACTAAACTGATCTTCTGTAAAAAAAAAAAAAAAGAAAGAAAGAAATTATCAATTCCCAACTTGACTCTCACTGGGATTAAACATGACAATAGGTCTGATCTGATTTCATCATCATTTAAAAAAAAATCATCTATTATTTTTCACTTTATGTTTCTGTGCGGGAGCAAACTGTTGAAATACTTAAGGTATACTAAGCTGATCTTCTGTATATTAAGATAATCGAAAATGAATCTTGATGTGAATGGAAGGGGAGAGGGAGTGGGAAAGGGGAGGGTTGTGGGTGGGAGGGACGGTATGGGGGGGAAAGCCATTGTAACCCATGAGTCGTACTTTGGAAATTTATATTCATTAAATAAAAGATAAAAAAAAAAAAACAAAAACAAAAAAAAACACCTAAAGCAGCTCCTTATGTGTGAGCGCCATCTAGGAAGGGGATTATCATGAGGCTCAGGAGTGAGCAGAAACACTGAATCTTGAAACAGGCCATCTTACCCCTGGGTTTGCCAGCTCATTTGGTGAACTCTTCTGTGAGCCAACTACTATTTTTTTTAAGTATTACTTAGTGAAATAAGCCATTCCCAAAAAGATATTTTTCCCTCATCTTTGGTAACTAGACTATAAAAAATGTACTGTATATGAGCAAAATTGACATTGAGATTTGATTATTGTATACAGCCCTTGTTTCCATTGCTAAGGAGCAGTGTTTTTTTTCCTTTTGTTGAATCCTTAGTGGAGGGTTAAGGTTATGACTATAAAATAAGCAAAGTATGCCACTGTAAAAATTAAAAGAAAAAATAAGAAAGGGATGAGAGGGAAGAGGGAGGGCATGGGTGGGATGGAGGGTAGGGTGGGAAGTGTCACTATGTTCCTAAATCTGTATATATGAAATACATGAAATTTGTTAACCTTATAAATAAAAAATTTAAAAATATTTATTTGAAAGATAGAGTAGCAGATAGAGGGAGAGACAAACACATACACACCAGAGAGAGAGAGAGAGATAGCATGAGAGAGCGTGATCTTCCATCTACTATTTCATTCCCCAGATGGCTGCAATAGCCAGGGTTGGCTAGGCTGAAGCCACGAGCAAGGAGCTTCATCCAGCGGGTCTCCCACAAGGGTGATAGTGACCCAGTTACTTGGGTCATCTTCTGCTGCTTTTCCCGGGCCACAGTAGGGAGTTGGATTAAAAGCGGAACATCCAGGACAGGAACCGGTGCCCATACGGGATACTGGCGTCACAAGCGGTGGGTTTAGCTGCTATGCCACATTGCGGGCCCCTTGTGCCAACTTATTGAGATCTGTTTCTCCTCAATTATGACCAATGCAGTAAGATAGCAACACAGAATGTTAGGTATAAACTGCCTTTACAGTCTTGTGTTTTACAAATTTATAAAAGACGGAATAAAATAGCCATCATCTATAACAAATTCCATTGTTCCCAGAAGGTGTAGGTAAATCGTAATGCATAATTGTATTTCTGCCTGCCAGGACCTGTGATGATGTATATGTGCTTGAAAAAGAGTAGAATAATTCCTCTTTACTGAAGAGCGTTTTGCTTTCTATTTGAAACATGATTTTAATGAACAATTCATAAAGATAATTTATTTTTACTATAGTAGGCCATCTTCAGTTTTTTTGGATTTGATTTTTCAAATAATCTATCAGAAAATCCCAATCACATTTTGCTGCACATCTCAATACACCTCTCTTTTGCCTGAAGTCCAAGTGAAATTCTCTTCTCCACGTTTGTTTTCCAAGGACATGCCCATGTTCTACCTGAGCTAGGTGGGGAACAGACAGAACAGATGTAAACATTCATGCTGTGATTAATGCTCCCCTAAGGCACAATACTTTTTAGCAACTCCTGTTTGTTTCAATCTGCTTGGGAAAGTCAGGATGTCTTAGCCTAAATATTTACAAGAGCCTAAACAACATTACATCAGCACAATTTAATTTATAAACATTCCCTGTACACCTAACCTTTTCCAAGTATGATGGCAGAAACCATGGAGGACATTAAAGAGAAAGATGAGATGGGGAACAAGAAGGCCAGGGAATAGTTATGAGAATGGGGGAGGAGAGAAGATGGAGTAGAAGAGGGAAGATGGCTAGAGGAAGAGGAAGAGGAAGCAAAGACTAAGAAACAACAAGAACTCATCAACCCGGGACTTCCTTGGTTCTGCATCTATTTTTTATTGTCTGAATCAACCTGTGGTTTCACCAAACTTTAACCAATGTCCTTATCATTGTATTCCAAAAGTTACACTAACAGTTATGCATTTTTTTTGACAGGCAGAGTTAGGCAGTGAGAGAGACAGAGAGAAAGGTCTTTCTTCCATTGGTTCACCCCCCTAGATGGCTGCCACGGCTGGCACACTGCACCGATCCAAAGCCACTGGATGCTTCCACCCAGTCTCCCATGCGGGTGCAGGGCCCAAACATTTGGGCCATCTTCCACTGCCCTCTCGGGCCACAGCAGAGAGCTGGACTAGAAGAGGAGCAACCGGGACAGAATCCGGCGCCCCAACCAGGATTAGAACCGGTGTGCTGGTGCCTCAGGCAGAGAATTAGCCTAGTGCGCCACTGCGCTGGCCATGCATTAACATTTTATGTGAAGGGCAGGCGCTGTGGCGTAGTAGGTAAAGCCGCTGCCTGCAGTGCCGGCATCCCATATGGGCGCCGGTTCAAGTCTTGGCTGCTCCACTTCCAATCCAGCTCTCTGCTATGGCCTGGGAAAGCAGTAGAAGTCCGTAGGCACCCATGTGTGAGACCCGGAAGAAGCTCCTGGCTCCTGACTTTGAATTGGCACAGCTCCGGCTGTCACGGCTGACTGGGGAGTGAACCAGCAGATAGAAAAAGAAGCAGAGAAAGAGATGTCTTCTATGTAACTCTTTCAAATAAATAAATAAATCTTTTAAAAAAAACTATGTGAGTTTATCTACTCCGCACGAAAACAAAACAAAAAAAAATCACTCGTTTTCATGTTGTTCCTTCCCACTTTTGGGTCTCAAATCACGATTTCTGAGCAATCAGGTGAGCTTAGTGGTATAACCTGAGGGGCACCAATAAGCATTCATGCTGGGTGGCCCAATGAAAATTGAGCTCTGAGACCTTGCTCCTAGGACCGAAACTATGCTCAGAAGTGGCCACCAACCATAAACACACACACACCACAGCTAAGTTCCCTCAGAGCTATTGAGTACCACTCACTACGGCTGACTGGCTCATCCTGACCCCTTTTCACAAAGCACTGCTCAATGTGAGATCATAGTAGCTTGCACCAGTCCTACAAGTGTGTTCTCAGGTTTTTGATGGTAGGTGCCAGCGTCATTGAGTTTGGGCTACACTTGATTAGAAAACCAGCAGAGGGGACAACCATGCTGCACAGAACCTCAAAGGATCAGGAACCAGAGCAGGAAATAGGCAGAGCTGCACTTCACAATGGCTGCATCATGAACTCAAGCGACTCCCAGACTCTTAGCATCGTGAGATAGGGATGAGTCACAGGTTCTGACATCAGAAGCCCTCACTGCAGAAGTCAAGATGCCCTGTCTCCTGCCCTAAGGGACTTGTCACTGCTCTGCTCCTCACTGTGTCCTGCAAAGTTACAATTGAAAGAGAACGAAAGAACAATCTTACCCATGAGGAAGTTTGCTGAGGACATAGTATCCTGTATAGGAGTGTTGATAGATCTGAAACAGAGAAAAAGAAAATGAAGCATGAGACAAAGGCTATAACTTGGATATTTTTCAAATCACTGAAAACCCAAAGGAACATCAGTGGACCAAAAAGTACCTAACCTGGAGACCTGGAGGCAAAGTTTTTTTATTCACTTGGTGAGTTAATTGACACATCCTGTTTATTTTATTTTCATCATTTGCAGTGGTTCACAGGGCAGGCATCTGTCATCTCCATGGCTACCTGGTTTGTGATTAAATTGGGGGAGGGGACACAGTTTTGCAGCTTTGCTTAACCAAATATAGCACTGAAGTCTTGAGGACACCTCGGCCAGAGGAGACAGTCAGACCCAGCCAGTGAGACCCCTCGGGACAGTGAAGGGCCAGGTGCTGCTGCAGACCCCTGTTAGTTATGGCAGGCAGCCCACCAGAAAGTCATTCCTCTGTACATCTTTATGAGCTTCAATACCAAATCCAAAATAGGCTTCCCTGGGCAAACTTCTGGCCTCTCTCTGATTCCACGTGCATTTTTTAGCCTTGGGGAGAGTGGTCAACAAGAGCTCACTGCAAGAGGGGAGGTAGAGGTAGCATGGCTTTCAAAGGAGGTAGCCAAAAAAACCAACACAAAATGTTGTCTTCAAACTCCCGAAACCTCCAAACTCCACAAGCCTCTCTTAATATCTTGAGTGAAGAGATTACTCCCCAGTCTATAAATGCAAGGATGAACGTGACAGTTCAGGAAATGTTAGCATCTTTCATCCCCAACTGTCTGGATGGAGACCCTCCCCAACAGGTAGAACTTGATGGGTTATTCTGTAGGGTACAAGTGGGAACCTGAATTTGCTTCCCTTTGTCCTCCCTGTGTAACTTCTGAGAGGCAGCGCCCTGTACAGGTGACTAGTCAGAGACCAGCTCATCTTGCAACAGCTAATAGGTGAGGGGTATTGAAGCAATGGGATGTGTATCTAATGTGGAATGTGTTGAATAGGGGGATGTATTTGTGTTACTGATGACAGAATCGGGCCTACAAAGGAAAACAGAATTTACAAGTAACACTGATTCCCTACCTACTCTGGACTGCTGAATTAACTTCCAGGGATTCACAGTGAACTTGGGATTATTTAGAGAAAAAAAGGAAAAGACAGAAACTGAACTTAAATCCCAACAATCTAATGCTCCCAGAGACCGTGAGACTCCTGATGAAGAAACAGTGGGCTCAGGGTGATCTGCAAGAGACTGTGGATGGCATTTACTGTTTCAGTGAAAAGAAAATGCCAACATTGGAAAATCAAAAAAAAAAAAAAATCTGTTCAGGAGAATACCATAGAACTGCCATGCCAATCTAAGAAGGGATGCCTAAACCTGGCCCACTTTGTTCTTTCTGAAGGATGACTGATGCCTCGCTCAATGAAAGGTGGGACATAGTCCTTGCTCCTATGCCCTGAGTTGGTTATTGCTCAGAGAGAGCCCATCAGAGGACGTCATGCTCTGACCGGACAATAACTATGAAAGGAACGGCTTCATCAGACACAAGAGCAAGAAGCTAGATTTCTCCAGTTATTACCCAGTGTTACTACCCAGTGTTACTACCCAGTGTTACTACCCAGTGTCTCTAAGCTCTCCTTCCAAATTACCTTGTTGTATTACTTTATTTTCACAGTAATCCCTAGGCAGGGCAAAAGATCACCTTTGTTTGTTAACAGACACTGAGGTTCAGCAAGAGTAGAGAGGAATATGGAAGAGAGAGAGAAGGGAGGGGAGGAGAGAAACACCACAATTAGGGAGAAGAAAGGGGATGGTAATGGAAGTGTGGGGAGGAGAGAAGGGCTGGAGAAGTGGGGAGAGGGGCAGAAAACAGGGAACCTAACTCTGTACCCTTGAGTGTTGGTTGAACCCAGTGACTCCAATGAGCAGACTGGTGCCAGGCTTCTGAGACGAGGTTATAAAAGGTACTGTGACTTCTTTTTTGCTCTTTTTTCTCACTTGCCCTGAGGAAAGCCAGTTGCCGTGCTGTGAGGACATTCAAGCAGCCCGGAGAGCAGTCCATGGAAGGAGTTAAAGTTCTTCCTCATTACACTGCCAACAGGCAGCCAGGGAGCAAGCCTCCTGCCAGCCACCATGCAAGCAGACATGCAAATAGATTCCTCATCCCAGTCAAAGCTTCCATCGACTGCAATGTCAGCTGTGCCTGACCACTTGACGGCAGCCTTAGGGGAGACCCTGAGCTAGAGCCACTGAGCTAAAATAGTGCTGAATAATTCCTGAGATCATGCATGTGTTTTTCTTAAGCCATCGAGTACTGGGTTAATTTCTTATATGACAATAGGTGAATGGAACACCCCAGTTTAAATCCAGAGGAAACAGGTAGCTATCAAATCAGATGCAGATAAGCTTCTCGAGCTGCTTGGTTCCCACCTGTTAAACTACCAGCAACTTCTAAAGCAAGCACAGATATTAGTTATCAAAATGAGATCCGTGTGGAAGATGTAGTGGGCTGGGACAGGACCATTCACATACAAAAATGCGGTGGGAAGCCTTAGAAATTACTGCAGAGAACTGCTCACAGCACTGCAGATGATGTGAGTCTGAAGAAGCCAGCGGTGACGGTGGCTAGCAGTTTCCAAGCACAAACTGTATCTTAGGTACTATTACTAGCTCCACAGCATGCATGAATGCATTTAGTCTTTACAAGATGGATTTGCTACCATCCCACTTATACAGGTAGGGAAGTGGGATTGTTAAGTTTAAGCAAAACCCAACTAGAATTTGATTTGAGGTCCGTCTCTCCAAATACTACATTGCAAATTGACCAAAATCAGAGTTTCTCTCTTAACTCTCAAATAACAAGACCAGACTGAATGTCTACTTGGAAAGCTCAGGTTAGAAACAAATATAATCAATTTCAAAGTCAGAACACAGGCCATTTTATCTTGATGGAAGGTCTATTTCTTAATCTACATAGAAACAGTGATTTAAATTAATTTCCTGGTCATGCCATTCCCCAACTGTCTAGACTCAGATCTTTGCATTTTTCTTTAAATATAACATTAATTGACCCTGAAAATTCAGCTCTGTAAATATTTGTGAGTGAAACTAACAAGAAATGAAAGACCAATTTAAAACAACCCCACAAGGGCATGGCAAGATGGGAGTGCCACCCATTTGCAACACACATGCATGGGAAATGTAATGAAATCTGGACAACAGGATCACCCGGTAGAAAGACTCCAACACAAAATGAGCAAATTTGGAGGCAGACAGATGAAGAAGCCAACAAGCTGGCTCTGCCAAGCAAAGCAGCAAGAAAGCAGCATTCCAGAGGAAACAGCACAGATGGGAATCTTACAAAGCAGAGAGAAAGGCTGACCAAGGGCTGCCTGTAAAACAGCAACTTTCTCCTTGCTCCCAGATGAAACAAGAAAACATCACTGTCTTCCACAAAATTCTCCCTCAACACAGATTCAAAAGAACCCCAGGCATGGGGGTGGGGCGTGTGTGTGTGTGTGATGGTACAGCAGGTTAAGCTACGGCTTGGGGTGTCTGCCTCCCATCCTGGAGTGCCAGTTCGAGTCCCAGGTGTTTTGCTTCCGAGCCAGCTTCCTGCTATGCATACCAGCAGGCAGCAGGTGATGGCTCAAGGGCGTAGGCCCAGGCCACTCATGTGAGAGATCTGGATGGAGTTCTGGATCCTGCTTTCAGCCTGGTCCAACCCCGATTGTTACAGGGTTTTGTGGAATGAACCAGTAGATGGAAGATCTCTCTCCCTCCCCCTCTCTGTATATGTCTGTCTTTCTCTGTTACTTGGAGTTTCAAATAGATGAAAATAGACATTTTTTAAAAATAAACCATAGGCACAAAGGAAAAAAAAACATGTAAAGTGCACACATTTCAAGAGTTTTCATTTGTATAATGTTACATCTTACTAGGAAGGCATTTAAAAAGTTGCATCTCACTAAAATGTGTGTCTTAAAAAGTATTTTTGTAGTCATTGCTATGTTTATGTTTCTGTCTTTAAAACATGCTCAATATTTCTGATCATGGAAAGAAGTACCAAATATTGTTAAGTAAGGCAGTGCTCAGTTATTTTTCTAGAAATGCAGTTTTAGAAGTTCATGAATATGAACTCCTTTGTTCTCATCCTACATTATTATAGTTCTCTTGGAAAATGAATAGATGAAAATCTATTATCCCAAATCCCATTCACAAGATGGGGAGACAATTTCAGCAACTTAGAAAAATATACCACACAAAATGGTTGACATTGGCATCCAGTCATTTAAAAGGCAGTCAACTTTTGTCATCAATGTGCTAACATCCCCGCCTGCTCTCAACTTCCCTTGTTCGGAGCTCCTTTTTCTGTCCTCTCCCCACCTCATCACTCACTGGCAGTACTTTAGAAATCGCTAAGGTCTTTCCTATCTCAGAACCATGGGTTTTCCTTACCCTCCCCCAACCCCACCCACTCACTTTATATCCTCTTCCTCTAGGAAATCCTCCCTCCTTGAGCTTTGAACCATTACCTAACTACCAGTTACCCCACAGATCCAGCTATAGATTCCTGCAAGACTTCATTATCCATACCTCACAGGTGTCCCAAACCCATTACACCCCAATGTAAACTCTACAACAGCCCTCCAAACCTCATCCTCCTCTGATTGCACCTGTCTCAGTTAGTGGTTCCTTCAGCCACCCAGTACACCGAGTTGAAAATCATGGTTTCCTTGACTCCAATGGAGGACAGGTTGTGTCTTAGGTACTGTTGGTAGCTCCATGGCATGCAAGAATGCATAGTCTTTACAAGATGGCTACTTTCCCCTTCCTTCCCCTACTTCAGTTCAATCAATCCCTAAAGAGTCCACATTAACTTAAATCCTGAGATCTATCGCGCACTCAGGTGCCTTGATTCAGACCTCTTCTCCTTCTTGTGTCTCCTACAGAAACAAACTGCATACTCCTTTCCAAGACCAACTCCCGGAGTCCCAACCCTTGTGCTTCTTGTGGAACTTTTAATAACC